TTCTCGCTCATTTTAAGTCGAAATTTATTTATTTTTGCACAGTTAGATCAGATTAATTGTGCTCTTCAAAATGATATCCACTTTAATATATTTTTCGAACAAAAAAAATTGAGTCATTTTTTACCAGCCTATACCATATGGTATTGACTGGTATTGAAATAAAAGCATACCTATGTTTTGAAAAACGTACCATGGTGGTATGAACAAACCAATACTGTAGGATGGTTGAATACATGATAGTAGAAGTATATTAATTGTAATTTACGACTTTTAACATTGTATACCACACAATACCACCCAGTACCAGGGTGGTATTGTATGGTATTGTGTGGTATTTTTTGGTCCTGTAATTTGTTCACCCAGAAATTTGTAGATCCAATAGATCATGATGAACTCGTCCCTTCTTTGCAAACGTTTTCAAAAACGAATTAAAAACGAAGAAGATACCATACAATACCACCCCGTACCAGGGTGGTATTGTATGGTATTGTGTGGTATTTTTTGATCCTGTAATTTGTTCACCCAGAAATTTGTAGATCCAGTAGATCATGATGAACTCATCCCTGCTGTGCAAACGTTTTCAAAAACGAATTAAAAACGAAGAAGATACCATATGGTATGCAGTTGGTACCGAGAGGCCAGAATTTTTTTTTCCTAAAAAATTATTGAAAATTGATCTCATTTTGTAGAGCACGGTGAACTCGTTCCATCTGTGCAAAAAAAATTAAAATCCGAGTTAAAACGAAAAAGATATGAGTCAATTAAGAAAGCTAGTGAAAATAAAAATAGTCTTTAATTCTCCATCCTTAGATCTGAATTTTCTAAATGAAGAGTCCAGATTTGGTTATTGATGGGTGCATAACCATGGGTTATGCACCCTATCTTGAGCCCGGTCTCCCTCCCTCCCACTGTCTCTCCATCTCCCTCTCATCTCTCGATCTGCAAATCGACGACCGTCGGTCCCTCCCCCTTCCTAGCTAACGTAGTCAGAAATGAACTAACGATTAAACTAACCAATATAACCGTTGACCGATTATAAGTTAGCGATCCGATTATCGCTATGCTTAAATGGCTTCCTGTGTAATCAATAACCAAATAACTTCTTAATGATTAACTGAAAACTAATAAAGTATATATTTCGATGTTTCTCTCCACTAAAACGATCACCTTCCTCCCAAACAAACTCTTAAACATCAAACAAAAAAATCTCCTCCACACCCAAACCCTCTTTGTCTTCCCTCGCACTGCAATTGAAAGAGGTAAATAGAATCACCGACTCCACGATTGTTAATGTATGCATTAATGATGGATCGAGAAGATCATATGCCTTTTTTGCTGGACGAAAGATTGAAAAGAGAGCACCCTGATTTCTTACATCAATGACTTCCCACTCGGTTCGCGCACTCAACACTCCTATCATTCCTCTCTTCGCTTTCTTCTCTCATCGCCAACAAGAACAAGGGGTCGTTTGCTTCATGGATTTAAAAATGAGGGTTTTGTAATTTAAAAACCCAAGGATTTATCAAGGATTTGAGGCATCATGGATTTGTAACAATCCTTTGTTTGTTGGGATGTTTTTATCATGGATTCAAAGGTGTGGGATTTACTACTTGAAGTCAAAAATTACATTACTGCCCTTTGCCCTTTTCTATATGTTTGACATGTTTATGATATGTACACAAAACAAGGACAAAATTACCTTACAATCATTTTCTATATGTTTGACATGTTTATGATATGTACACAAAACAAGGACAATACATACTAATAAGCATAATGTTGCCACATGGACAATAATAATAAACGAGAAAATTCCGTTTTAACTTTTAACGTAACATAATCAAATACCAATTTTTTGTCCTCCTTTTCAAAAGTGACATATAACAACATATATTAGAATCGGGAGAACAAAGAATTACACGTTCCATGAAAAGGTCAAAGAAAACTAGAACACAAGAAATGATATAAAAAATCTAACTCATGTTTGCACATTAATTGAACGTTTATATTATTCATTTATTGTTAATTATAATGTATAATAGTTAAATTTGAGGGCAACCTTGGAATATTAAAAGTGCATGAGTGTAGGTAAAATCTCATCAAGGATTTATGCCATATTCCAAATCCCACATCAACATGTGGGATTTATAAGTCCGTGGGGTCCACGGATTTGGACCCTTAAAATCCATGGGCTCCACGGATTTGGTCTCCAAAAAAGGTGCAAGCAAACAACGAATTGTACCTAAATCCTTGCTAGTTGGTTTTTTTGTACCAAATCCATGTACCAAATCCTTGAAGCAAACGACCCCCAACTGATCAAATCCCAAATCAGTAATCCAAAGACCACACGACCAACCAAAATTCTAACCCACCTCCACATTGAGAAACCCATCCCTCCACCATAACATTCATCGTCGACGCCGGCCAAATTCCCTAACCCTAACACTATCTACCGAATGCTTTGTTATTGTTTTTCTTCTTCTCCTTCTTCCCTATACAACAACTTCTTTAGGCGTCAAACAAGACTAAAAGAATCAAACGTTTAGGATGCTTGAATGTTGCCTTCTATTTTATTATTATTTTCTTTACACGGTAAGCATATGCATATCTGCTCCTTGTCTGAATGTCGTCTACACCACTTTGATTCTCTTCAGACAAGATGAGCTGTTCATTCTTAATTCCGCCGGAGATTTGTGCAGAATGCTCTGCTAAACTTAATTATCTTAATTTTTTAAGGACATTATAATTACTAGTTGCTAATTCAAGCTTGCAGAGTCATCACTGTTAACGACAATACACGTTGTGCATGTGCTCTCTTGTTTGCCATGTCTATTAATTTTCAAGGCGCCTTTTTCTTTGGCCTGCATTTCCAGGATGAATCAGCAAGATAAGCCGCTGTTGAAGTTTTTGTAGGGCTACTCGAGATTTTCGGATATTGTAGTAATTAGTAGTGGATTCAGAAAATTGGTCAATGAGGTGTTTTTCTCCGTAAAATTTATAATTATAAGTGAAGTAAAAAGTCAATAACAAAATACTCAAGATTCGTGTAATTACAATAGTTCAACGCACACTGCTTATAACAAATCGTGATGAGATTTCATATTATAAAGACATTGCAGAGCATATTCATCGTAGAATATATGTCCCCAAGAATCAATTCCCAAAGATGGTAGGGCTTGGAGGAGAACGGACAACCCCTCGTGCATTGCAACATCGCTTCTCTCTTGTTAGGTGTGTCGCTATAACATAAATAAAATGGTAGGAGTATGTTGGTGAGAACGATAAACCCTTAATTGTAGGTTTTAATTTGAGCACAAATCACTTTTGTAAATAATATTTATGTTTATTAAAATAAAATAACTTGTACATGATTGAGTTGGTCAAGCAGACGACTTTGTCGACAAGTCAGGAGTTCGAAACTCCAATAAATCACATTCTTGGTAATTTTTCCGCCCTTACAAGGGGCCTACAAGCACCCCGAACCTGTCTGAACAACTCCGCCATGGATCGTAGTTGTTCGATATTATGGATATTATTACTTCTTTCATATTCACTAAAAAATACAGTCATTAGTAATGAGAGTTGGTGATCATAAATTCCTTAGTTGTTTGGTTTTTATATAATATCAATATTGTGTAAATGAGTAAATAATAATACAAAATTTTATATTTTCACATCTCTCAACAACTCAACCTAGTGAAACTAAGTACTATATCCATTATCTTGGCAATAAAAAGATCTCATTTGGAGAATTATAGTCTAAATCTCTAAATCCTAAACAATCTAAAAAATGCAAATTACCATAAAATTCATATATAAAAAACCTTCACATTTATGGGAGATTTCATCTATCTAACTTTTAGGGATTTGAATTTTTAACCTAAAATCTGTATGATACGATTATACAAAGGCAAGGCAATGTATGATTTATTTCCATATCCATAAACTTTATGAATCAATCAACACTATGTATATTTATTTTTAGCGAAACAAACCTATTATTGGAAAGAAATAAGAAATAAATATTTCTTTGTACAAAAAACGGAATGGAATGGAATTAATATTCAATAATATCATGATGAAGCGGTGCATTCTTCTTTTTATATAATAATAATAATAATAATAATAATAATAATAATAATAATAAAATTAAGACCTCAACCTGTTCTTGTCTGTGTCTGATGCTTGCCTGCTTCTCTGCCCTTCCATTAAGCTTTTATATAAACCCCACTCCATCTCCTTCCATTCATCACCACCACCCTCTTCTCTCTCCGCAGCAAATGAGAAGGGAGAAGAAGCTCAACCCTATCTTTCTCTCTTCTATCATCCCTATTTTTGAGTTGGGAAAAAACCCTTTTTTTTTATTTCTTTCCTTAATATGCAGTTCTTGTTCTTCTTCTTCATCTTCTCCTTTTTTTCTTTTCCAGCAGTCGCTTTCCCTATAATTTCAAAGCTCCTCCCCTTTTCACCGTCTCTTTTCCTTTGTTTCCGCTGTCCATTTCTTTAGGGTTTGTGTGGTAGTCCGGTTCCTATAATTAAGTTTCAGCAGTCAGAAGCCGCGGAGGCTGGTAGCCAGCGAGTTCCTCGACGGAGCTAGGGTTTCGCTATGTATATGAGAAGCAGCTCCATTACGTAGATTTAGGTTTTGTGTGGGAACATGGAAAAACTTGCAAAGGGAGCTTTCTTCAGTCCACTCATGGGCAGCAGTGAGGTTCGATTAGCTGCCGACTCATTCATCCAAATACTGCGTAAGAAACAACAAGGACGACATTTCGAATGGGATTTTGCAGCGCAGTAAATGAGTGAATGATGCGGGAGACAAATTGGATCTTAAGCTCCCTGTACTTGGACTGAAGGGAGCTCCCTTTTCCTACCCCTTTTTTCTTTCCCATTCTATTCCCTTACCTTGCATATTTTTATTTTGATTCTCTTATGTATAGGATGCTAGCTAGCTAAGTTAATTTATTCTGTATGCTCGATTACATTAATCTTGGGTTGCTCTCTCTTTTGAGGCATGTTTGTTCCATTTTTGTTTTCTATTTGCGGGTTGTAATCTTGGCAGCGGTCCTTAGATGCTTCTCCACTACTTTGTGCTTTCTTACAAAACAGATCGATTCTGTTCGGAGGTAATCACCAACTCAAAAAGTATATACAATATATATTTCAATTAATTACTGTACCTTTAAACTCTATTTTGTAATTAGCATTTGATGGGTCTAGAAGTTGGTTTCTTAAATCGGTAGAGCGGTCTTTTACCCGATGTGAATATGTCTGCTGCTTTCTTGTACTATTTTTGTGTAGATGTATGAATGCATGATTCAGTAGTACTATGTATATACTGTGTACATGTTGTGTCTGGTTTCATGACCTAGTTATAGTATGAGGAGGACTGTTCACCAAGAAAGGAGAGAAAAAACCTAGTATAGGCAAAAGTTAATGATCTATCTGGATCTTCTGTAGCTGCTGTCCGTTCCTGTAGGGCAGCAGGAAAATAATGGTGTGGAAGAAGGGGTTTCATGGATGATACTATTTGGGAACAGAAGAATTCAGCTCGTGAAGAAGATGATGATGATGTACGTGCTTGAGCTTTCTGAATTTTATTTATTTCTCAATGTTATTGCCTTCGACATATACAAGTATGATTGTGATAATTAAGAAAAGGGTGGGTTGAAAATGAGTGGCTGGGACAAGCGGTGGTGCTCTCCCTCAATTATATCTTGGCTGCAATAAATTTTGCTAGGGTTGTCCCTAATTACAAGCTTTTTTTTTTTTTTTTTGGGCTGTAAAAGGGAATGCATGATGATAGGCGAGGGAACCACCGGACCAGACAGAGAATCTGATCAGAGTTCCAAAGCTATATTTAAAAACAAAAATATTTGTACTTTGTAGATTTTTAATGCAAAAAAATGAAGATGATGTTTGAACATGGTGCTATGTGGTGGTTGTTTCTTGGGTTTGGTTTCGGCTGCGGGACTTTTTGGCTCTTTTATATGCGTTTTAAATGACTAGACTAGAAGAAAGAACAGTAACAAGTTCCCATAAACCCCTGCGCCCACTCCCCTTAATCGTGGTTCGATTACCCATATATCTGCAACCTAGCTACTAGTCTTTGTACTTTACTCTTCCTTTTTCCCAAGCTGCTAGCTTTTTAACTCATTTGTTAATACTAAACCCCTTTGGTTTTGTTCATCTCCAGGCGGTATAATCTGCTCAGCTGAATGCGTTCTACTTCTGCATGTCCTCGTCGGTTGTTAGTTACTGAAGTGAATATGAACAAACCCAGATCGCCATGGAAGATGATCAATAGTTGTAGAAATAGAGAGTAGCTGAAACCATGCATTTGTTCCACTCCACGTGTATAATTACAAAATATATATATAATATACATAATGAGCTTCTCATTCTCGCGCTTGAAACAGTCCATCCCTATTAGATGGTTCTTGCGATAGATAGATAGATAGATAGATAGACTGTGAGCACCATATCCGGGCTGTTCGCTAATCTGATAATTTTGACGTAGAATGAAACAGTTAATTAATAGCATTGACTTGGAGCTGGAGTGGGAATAAGACATGGTAAAGCTAGCAACGGGATGTATATGTTGGTGGAAATTCTAGTGATGGTTGGTAGTGGCGAACTTTTTTTTGCTGGCAGTTGGATTCAAACCAATGTGATCTCAGTGTGAAATGTGATAGTGGTGAATCTTAATCATGTCCCACCGTATATATATTAGCATGTAGCAGCTGAAGTTGACTCAGATCCAGGAAAATAAAGTCCCTTAATTTGATTGGTAGGTCTAATTCTCAAACCTTTTTCCAAGCAACATCAAAAAATAAGAAAATTTAATTATAAACAAATTGTTTGATCTGGCTTTGTTATAATTTATTGATTTTCTATATGAAGATCTTAGGATTAGATTTTAGAGTCATCTTTTCCTTTTTACAGACTCATTTTCACTGGCATGTCGATAAACAAATTCCTACAAAAAAATAGAAACAGTTAATTAATTCCGCCTTTTTCTTAAGAAAATTATGTTCATGATGATATCTCCAGTTCTAGAACACAATGTTCAATATTACTACCATCAAACTAATTACGAAAAATGAAAAACACGATGCTCAAAGAATCAAAGGTATACAACTTTGTGCAAGTGGGTTCTTTGTTTCATAAATATACGAAAAAGAAGGTAACCAATCAAAGTGGCATTTGTTGTTCACCCTCAAATGGTGTGTACTCACAGATAATGCACTATAGCATTTCTTCTAGAATATATATTTGTATTGGACTTCATTGTATGGTGCTAGAATTGGCTTAGAATTTCATGAATCTTAGGTTTTATATCCTTGGACCACTTAAAGAACCTCTTCAGAGACATTCACAATGGTAGATTTATCCATGATTGCTTATGTGACAATATTGTAGAGTCACCGCTCTTGTGATAGCGATGTATGTTATTTTATTGATTATATCATTATTCCGGTTAGTTAACAAATTGTATAAAGTCTTTTTTCAACTCTCATCAAGCCAATTCAAGGGCTAGGTGGGAAGCGCAATTCACTAACACATACTCTTTTCATCCACATCGCAGCAAGATTCTAGATCTACTTTGTTTTTGTATATCCATCAGCTTAAAATGAATTTGCCGACTCATTGTCTCGATTCTTGGAATGAAGATTGCCCGTCTGTATAGAAAAAAATGTAGTTTAAATATATAAAAAAGGCTTGACTATGGATTAGAATTCAATACGTTGTCGAATAAATTTTTAATGAATTAGCCATCTTTATGAATTAATTTGTAATTCTTGTCACCCTAGTTTTCGACCCAAAGATGAATTTAATTAAACCTGTTGAATCACCTTGGCAACATGGAACTTTGACAATATTTACAAACCCAACAAAATTGACATTCTTTCTTAAAATATACTAAACCGCAATAAAAGTTGGTCCTATGCATGCTAGAAACCACTTTTATTTATTAAACTTTGGCGGTGTTTCCAGACACGGCCTCTCTTGTTCTGGAGAGTGCAGCTTCAGCCTAATGCCTTCAAGTGAGTGAGTGACAAGTGCCACTCACTGCCCATTTCCTTTCAACAGAAACTGCCACTGCCCACTAACATCGCCACTGCTTGCTTGCTGCTGCTGCTGTTTGCTTCTGCAGAATTAATTTGTTTCTTCTCCTTTCCCCAAAACGAATCTTATTGATAGAGAGACATGGGAGATGGCCAGGAAAGCAACCCAAATTTTATTCCCTCTCCAGCCCCTCAAATTATTAATCTTCTCTGTTCCTTTTACCTTCACCTTTCTTCTTTTGTTTGTTTTTAATTTCTTTCACTAGTGATGATGGGAATTGGAAAAATATCAAGGTAGTCGACTCGATTTAGTTTGTCGGCCAGATCGAGTAAACGGGTTGAGCGTTACTGATCTGACTGATTTAATTTAAATATAAATAGTCATCACACACTTATATAGCATTAATATTCAAATGGTCAATATAGAATTTCAAAGATAGGGTTAGTAGAAAAGGAAAACTGGAAAATAGACGTATTTCGCAAAACAAAAGGAAAAAACGTCGTGTGGCCTCCAACTCGATAACCTTGCAGCCAGTCGACCTGCAATTGTGTGTGACCAATCTTTCCTACCATGTCAGAATCAAAACAGGTCAACCGGCGGGGCGACCCACAAGTTGACAACCTTGGAAAATACAAAAATTAAGGGTTCCAAAACAAATTAATCCCACTTGTTGTTGGAATGTATCACATTTGCTTATTTGGTTTATGATTGATAGCACATGAATCTGTTGACTTGATGAAAATTACGAAGTTTTGGGTTCCAAATAAATGGTTCGTTGTGCTCTGTTGTGCTCTTTTGTAGTGTGTCGGTTTTTATCTATTACATTTATGGTTAAAAGAAGAGTTTGAATAATTTTTTTAAGTTTTAACCCTCATTGAATTTTGTAGTATGTACTCTCATTGCCATAGATAAATGTTTTCTCTAACGAACAAGAGTTTGGCGAGTGATAATACAAATATTATTAGTATTGAACTTAAAAATTTCAAATTCGCATCTCTTAAATATTATTTAATATACCACTTAAATATCAGTGTGAGTGTGTATTTGCTTACTTCTTGAGCCACCTCTATTAGGGGTGGCTATACGGTCCGGTCCTGTTAAATTGGCCCAAATTGATCCGGTCTAGTCCGGTTTTTTTGAAAATATAAGGACCGAAGATTGGATTGGATACAGTCCGGTCTTGATCCGGTCCGGTCTTGACCCGGTCCGGTCCCAATTCGGTCTTGATTTTATATTGAGATTGTGGGAATTTGAGTGGCCTAAGGCCTAAAAGGGTGAGGAGTTGGTTAAGTTTTGTACTAAGTGCAAAGGTTTGACACCGTTTATGCAAATTACCCTTAAATTTTGGGTGTTGAGCTCTCTTATCCGGTCTTTATCCGGTTTTTTTACCTCAAATCTAAACCCAAAGATTGGATTGGATCGTTTACTATCCGGTCCCGATCCGGGTTATACAGTCCGGTTTCCGGTTTTTCATCCGGTCCCGGTCCAAATAGCCAGTCCTAACCTCTATAGTGTTTTGTGTCATTGTATAGCTTACTTCTTTCTCCGTATAAGCTGCGAGGACAAATATACATCTATACGCTCTCTTTTTGCCTCTCCTCTTCAAGATTCGCAATATCATTTTATGCTAGATATACCACAAGCTTTTCTTACATTATTTGAATAAAACGAGAACCGACTAGTCTTTTTCCCATTGCCTTTTTTCACTCCAATTTCTGGAGTTTTCTTTCTTTCATGCCATGATCATCGAATTGTCTTTTGCACCATCTTTAACAAAGCACAAATGTGTACCATTTGCTTTCTTGTGAGGTTCTGTTTTTCCTTTTGTCCTCCCCAATTCTTATTATTCATGGGATGTGGCGAATTTTCCACGTGCCCTTTCCCTGCTTGTCTAAATTACAATAAAAAAACATGACACCCTTATCTTCTATCTTAACATTCTGTACTAAAACCAAAGTACTTCCATTGAAGTTGATAAATGTTCTCTTACAGAGAGCTTAACAACAGCCTTTTATGGCTAACACAAAGCTATAAGTTCCTAACGAATTAACTAGACTCCTTACTAATTATTTGCCTACATTTAATTAACAATAAATCCAAGTTAGATCAATAGATAACTGTCATGACCACCGATTAATATGAATGGTAAATAGTAGATAAATAAAATGGCGAAATTTATTGTTCATGAATAGCTTGAGAAAGAAGAACAATTTTGTGCAAAATCTACTTTGGCATATTTTATTTTCACGAACACAAATATAGTGTGATTAACAAATGTCACTTCCAGAAAAACACATCAAAGTTTCAAGAAAAGATGAATATTTTCGAGTGGATGCAGAAGGATCAATCAAAATTATTGAATTAATTAGTAAATGATCATACTAATGGAGTTCACCTTTATTCTTTGGGGCCTCATGTCTCCAACCCATTTGGAAAAAGTTTTTGTTACTATTAGTGCTAATGAAATGGGGGGTTTGTTTTATGAATGACATGGGGGGGAATTTGGAGTATCTTGTTAAATTCTAAACTATCATCTCATTAAGATGCCACTACTCTAGAATAGATCTTGCAAAATGGGGAATTTGGGATTTGACTATGTCCTCATTGGCACATCTAAATTTGGCCACAATCACCATTTCTAACTAATGGAGACAAACCTTTGTGGCTTTGCTGGGTGGGAACTGGGAACTTCTTTCTAGCCAGCCATGCAAACCTTCCTGATGGGACGACACTTAAAAAAAAAAAAATTAACGACCTCTGTTAATTAATATCATTTTCAGATCAACTCTATTTGAGGAATTACAACATGCATTAGTACGTAGTGCATTCTTTTTATATTTATATATTTGGAGATTGCCAAATGCAACTTCAGGCCACACCACTATACGATTAGTTTAAAAAAGAAGGTAATAATTCATTAGTAATTGACTTAGCGAGATGCTTCCCAATGACACGAGTTTACATTCTTGATCTGATTTCTCATCACATGTAACAGGTCAAGCCTGTAACTAATGGTTTGATGAAATCAATCTAGTATTTCAAAGTTTTAAAAAGAAAAGTATCTTAGGCTTTGCAATGCCTTAGGAACACATAGCTGGGGTGAAAAGAAGAAGAAAAAAAGCTTCATAATTGCATATGGGGATGTTTGAACTTTGAAGAGATCTCCACATATCTCTCCAAGCACTAAACAGGCAAATTGTAGTGCTCTCTCCTCCCCTCCACCCATAAAACCCTAATTTTATGGCCAAAAGAAAGAAAAAAAGGGATGAAATGAAATGAAGTAAGTCATATCAGAACACATATCAAAGAGGAGTTCAGTCGTCCTTCCC